CGCCAAGGACCCTGAACTGGGGCTTCCTCCTTGGCGGCCGATGCCCTTTCCTCGTGACCATGCGCAAACTGGGCGACAAGAACTCCTTGAGGAAGCTCAAGAATGCGGATTGCTTGCACAGAACCGAAATGCCTCTCTGTGAGAACAGTGTAAACACAGGCAGAGCTTTCTGGAGTGTTTGATGCAGCGTGTGACTGGACCGAGGGGTGGTTTATTTCCGGGTGCTTCATGCAAGTGTTTCCCCAACAGAGCAGGTTAAAGATGGCTCAGTTGCTCTTCGTAAGTTCCATTTTATTTATTTAGATGTGCAATGCAATCCTGCAGTGAGCTGGCCATCTGTAAGTGAGGTGAATTTTCCATACCTTCAGCATCTCCCACATGCTCTCATGGCTGAAGGACCTCCTAAAATTACCCTCATCCTGTGTTTGGATGTTGCAGCGGACAGTGCTCCACACAGATTATCATTATGGATTTATTTATATGCTGTCCATTTATCTTGCACCTTACACCTATTTGCATCTGGCCTTTCTTTCCCTCTGCAAGGAACACGAGGCAGCTCACACCCTCTCCTGAGTCCCAATCCAACGCTTTCTCATGACAGCATCCTGGTCGCCGTCCATCCATGTGTTGGACTGCAAGATCCCCTGTCTTGTGGATAGCTGCCAAAAGCCTCCCTTCCCAACTCAGAAATGATCGAGAGAAACAGAAACAGAGCGAGGCAGAAGGGGCCTCCTGGGCCATCTAGTCTGACCCCTGGCTCCAGCCGGCTCCACTCATGACATGCCCACCATGTGCACGTCCAGCCTGTCCTTGAACAGCCGCACCGATGGGGCCTCAACCACCTCCCGTGGAAGCCCATTCCACCCCCTCGGGGTCCTGACTGTCAGGAAGTGCTTCCTGGCTTCCAAATGGAACCTTGGCTCCCTGAGCTTGGCTCTGTTGGAGCGCGTCCTGCCTTCCTCTCCCAGCATCACAACAGTTTAACTTTTCCCAGCATTTCAAAAGTGTAACTTTTTAAGTTGAGTTTTAACATTGCATTTTATGCTGTACCACGGCTAAGCTTCAATGCTGATTCAGTTTGAATTGCTGTGGTTTTGCTGCCTTATGCTAATATGTGTTGCTTTTCCTTTTTTGCTTTTTGCATTAACCGTTCAGAGAGCCTTGGCTATTGGGCAGTAGAAAAATGAAATAAATAAATAAATAAATAAATAAGGTATACATGTAAGTATGTTTGCGCATGTATGCATGCATATATTTATGCACCATCCTAAATATAACTATGCAGATTTCCTTGGCTCGTTTTGGGGCAAGGGCAATCAAGCAGTACTACAGTCTCATGTATATTCATGCACGAATATATCTTTGCGCTGTCAAATAAGGCACCCTGAGGCAGTTCTCCTGAAGGGGGTAACCCTGTGCCAGGTCATCAGACTACAGGTGCAGACTGACATGCTGTAATGTCTCATAAGGAAAAGCAAACAGCAATGCTTCCCCGCACACAGAAATCTAGTGTGTCAGGGAGAAGGTTAAAAGAGTGTCTTTTCACTTATACGTTCAGGGATCCTCCATCTCACAAGACTAGCCATGGCAACAGCCGCTCTGGGCCAGCTAAGAGACTGTGATATCTCAATTTCAGACACTGCACTCTTTCAAAAAGTCTCAAGAAAGATCCCAGTGTCTCATTAGAAGGATCTGGTGGAGGAAAACCTTCCTGCAGTCATGCATCCCACCAGCAAAAGATTCCTCCATCTTGCCACAGTGCCTGCGCGCCTTGGATAGAGATGACCCCCGCTCAGCACCGAGCATCTTCAGATGTTTTTATAACAGTGGCGCTTCTTTTTAAGGAACAAATTTCAGGCTTCAGGGAAGTGATCTCTGCTCTGGACAGGTGCCTCCAGAGAGAGGGCAGTTCTGAGCTAGGTGGCCAGGTAACCTCACCTGATAAGAGTGAGCTTCCTCCAATCTAATTAAACGTTACACCCCAGCAGGCAGGTGGCAGGCAGGAAAATACAAGGGGCTCATCAAAAAATTTCTGCACTTTAAAAAATTCTATCTATTAAGAATTTCAAAAACAAATTACATCACTTTTGCAATGCGTTTTCCCAGCGTCATACCAACTTTTGAATGCCATCAGCAAAATATATATAAAATATATTTATAAAATATAAAAGTACGGAAACTTTTTGAAGAGCCCTCATATTTCCTTCACCAATCTGAGGAGTACATATCCACCTCAAATGCAAAATCCCAATAATTTTCAGACCACTTTCGGGAAGCCTAAATGAGCCTTTGATTTTCATACTTCTTCGGTCAGTGACAGTGCATGTGATTTTTAAAATATCGTGCACTGTTCCACATAGGTCGTCCGGCCAAAGTTTAGGGCGACACGTAGGGAAAAGCAGGCCCTGTGTTCTCCGTAGCTTTCTGTTCACATTCTTTCAGTGAGTTCTCCCCAGAATAATTGCAGGCTTGGTGGTGAAATTACAGGAGCCTTGGCAAGCGTTTGGCAGGCTAGAGAATTACCCAATTACTCAAATTACATTTTAATGCATTTGCATTGCAATGTTCCAAGAGTCTCTTTCTGGCCCCATTCCCAGGCGGGCTGAAAGGTGGGTTTTGCTTTACATCGGATGCTTTGAAGGAGAGGAGCAAAACCTTCCGAATTCAGCCGCAGACTTCTGTGCGTGACCTTGAGAGAAAGTCGCTTAGCGTGCGCTTGGGCACATCATCAGGCTGCGATCATCCTGTGCAGCCCTTAATTTTATAGCCAGCATTTCTGGCTGGGGTGGGAAGGGGCAGGACTTGCTGCTGCCCGACTGCGCAGCGGATCGGTTCCTTAGCTGAGTTATTTCCACTTCAAATCACCGTAGGGTGCAAGGGCAGAAAACAGTATGAGAAAAATGCTACTACACCCCGTAGCAGCCACTGGTGCTGTGGGGTGCAGTGGTTATTAAAACAACTAGACGGGGCACAAGGGAACTCTGCCAACCTGGGAATGAGTGTTTCTGCTCAGTGTTTTTAAAAAATTGCTCTGTTCTATATCGCTGCAATTTTTATTTCCTGGATGACTTTAAGAAGGGCTGATCCCTTGCTCATCTTCTCTCAGCGCATTTGTTTTGGATACTGCTCAAAGCTGACTTTGGGGTTTTCTTGTTGTTATTTTCTCTTTTCACTCTACCACGCTGCAGGTAAGATCTAAAGCTAGATCCATTTCATTCCTCTGTGAGGCCAATGCACAGATGTGTGTTTTTTATACGTTGAATTGTGGGTGGGTTTACCTATGAACGGGATACTGTGATCTAATGCATCTGTATTTCTTTACATCACCTCTGCTTAAAGATAATTTTCAGCAGGGTCAGGGCCAACCAGGATTTTTCACGGAGACACAGAAAAAGAGTCTTCCAGGTGTTCGTTCTGCTTTGAGAAGCGGCTCTGGAAGGATGCCACTTTGAAGGCAGGTGGTGCTGAGCTGTTCACTGTGTGCCAACCATCTGCTCAAAACAGAGCAAAAATGCTGCTTCTCTAATGATGCAAAATGCTGGATCCCAGGCTGCCGATGTTGGAATAGTGGGTGGATGGGCCCACAGGTGGGAAAAGCAAGATCGGGAAGTGAAAGGGTGAAGCGCCCCCTCCCCTTGCCACAAATGCATTTTGTTTCGTTTTGCTCCTTTTAAGCTTGGTGTCAGAGGCTCTTTACTAATGCCGATAATGAATCGCCAAGACCCTCAGGGAAGACTGAATCACCTTAAACCCCAGTGTTTTAATTGGTGAGATCCCCCGGGCCCCCTGCCTGGGTGATTTACGACAGCTGCTACCAGGTAGTGGTCTCCACCGCCAACCACAAGCTTTTAGAACATACACAGAGTGTTTTATGGATTCCGAGTCACATGGGCCCAGCAGCTGGGCTGTTGATGATGAAACACGGTGAACACAGTCGGAAGAAGGTGAGGGGCCTGCAGAGGGGGCTCAGGACAGTGGCATTTGAGGGCAGGAGATTAACATAAGGATCACTGAGGCACGGGGGTTCCTGTGGGTCTTGGCATGCAAACGAGGGCGATTGCAGTGCTGCGAACCTGGCAGCCTGGTCAGTTCTTCCTGATCAGCAACACAACAGCCTTGGCAGCTTCTTGGGGAAGCCATCAGGTCCCACATCTTAAAGCAACAGCAAGTGCCCAACAGTAACCTGGCTTGGAATATTTTGGGTGCTTCCTGAGAAAAAGGGGTGCAGGCATTGTATAACACAGACACATAAGCACCCCTTTTCTGCCAGGGTTTATCTGAATTTTCCCCACATTGCCTCGACACGTTTTGCTTCCAGCAGTCCCATGTACGACAACCAGGCTGCATAACTGGATAAGCAAACAAGCTCCTGGGTGGACCCTGCGTAAGCCCAACTTTGCCATCATTTCGTCAGCACCATCCAGCCTCCCATATCATGGGAACTGAGAACAGGAAGCCGACAACCTGTTGTGCCCAGTAAGAAGATCGGGGTGTTAGCCCTTGCATAACACTCCGCAAGAGCGGTTCTCCGTTTTCTCTGACCTCATCCTTAGTAATCCACTTCATAGCTAGAAGGGCAGCACCTGACAGGTCTCTCCGGAGCAAGACGTCTCTCTGGAAAGCTAGAGAGCTTGTTTAATCTTGCCCCGGATCACCACGAGACAGCTGCAGTCTCGCAGTCTCCCAGTTCCTACGAGTCTTAACGTCTCTGGATGGATGGCTGACGCTTGAAGGGTTTGCTTTCCATTTTTCTCAGCTTGGGTCATACGAGGAAGTTCTGGTGGCTGGCTGGTTCCTTTTTCTTGACGGTTCCCAGCTGAAGGGGAACAATGTGTCTTTGTGTTTCTGCTTAGATGCTTTCCTATGTTCTACAAGGAGTGTCTTGAACCGAGTGGCCGAGCGGCTGGGTCCCCGGGGGAGCTGGTTTGCTGAGCAGAAGGATTTTTACGTGGCAAACCGTTGATGAGATGCTTCTTGGCTCATCCGCTGACCGGGCGATGGATGTTTACGACAGTGCAACAGAGAGCAAGATGTCTGTCCCCAAGCTCCAGGCAGAAGAAATGCTGGTTGCCGCAGATTACAAGACTGGAGAGGGTCCCGCCTCCGATGACCACCTGCGGAACCTGAAAGCCCTGACGGAGAAACTGAGGCTGGAGACCAGGAGACCTTCGTATTTGGAGTGGAAAGTCCGGCTGGAGGGGCTCACATGGAAGTGCCACCCCAAACCTCCAGAGGAGGAGGAAGAGGAAGGGGAGGAAGAGGAGGAGGAGGAAGACTACCAGGACAAGAATGCCCTGGAGGAAAGCGTTCCTCTCAGACGGACGCAGGGCCAAGTCACTGAAGTCCCTTCCGAACAGCTCACCTCAGAGAAAAGCAGTGGCTTTGCAAATATCGATGAAGCTTTAAATTGGCTCAGGAAGGAACTGGTAAGTGGGCCCCTGCGGAAGTGTAATGGCATTTTATTGGGTCTATCCTGCACGTGCTGATTCAGAGGCTGCCTCTTTTCGCTTCATTGGGACGTTTATTGTCGCTCTCCTGTTGCGTTGATAGGGCCTCCTTCCCTTTGGAAGGGCTGCATGACAGCTTGCGAGGTTCTGCTCATCTCCACTTTATCCCCCCAACAATGATCCTATGAGTAAGGCCAAGCAGAGACCCCAAAAGTCCCCCAGTGGGCTTCATAGCTGAGGGGGATTAGAGCCCAGGTTCCCTGAGTCGGGCTCCTGCACGCTTTGCCTTGACACCCAGGACTGCAGCCTAAAGGAAGGAAAAAGTCTGCTCGGCCGCAGAAATGAACCTTTCCCCCTTCCTTCCCCTTGTCTTCTTTTTCTCCTCCTCCTCTCTCAGATTCTTCCTGTTCTCTTCTTCCATTTAGACGCCACTTAGCAGCAGATGAAAGGGCATTCGCCTGTCAGCTCCGTTAATCCCCCTCCTCCCCCTAGCAACTGCCTCCCGCATTCCCAGGTGGGGCAGGGACAGTGGCTCCGGGGACCCAGATCAAAGCAGCCCCTCCAGAAGGCAAAGTGCCGCACCTCGAGGCCTCACGTGCGGGGCTCAGCCCCACGCCTGGAAGCCGGGACGGTGCTGCTGGAGTTCGGCTCCAGTGACTCCCCTAGAAATGCTGACCAGGCGTTGTGCTGGCGTCAAGATGTGGGGCGGGCAGCACGGGATGAACCTGTGCGAGTGCTTGGATGGAAGGCCTCGCGCCGCAGGATCAGAGGAGGTTTTGCGCAGCCCCAGGGCGGCAATCAAAGCGAAGCCGGGCTTCCCCCCGGCAGGAGACTGGGCAGTTCGAAAAGGCGCACGGCACGCCTTGTCCTGGACTGGGCTGGCGTTCAGCAACAGCCGCTGTAGCCCCGAGGGCGGCATGCGGGGTCACGCGGGGCTGTTCACACGTCCTTGGCTCAGGCCGCAGAGAGAGACTCGCCAGGCAACAGGCAACGCACGGTGCCGTGTTCCCGTGGAAGGAAGCCCCCGCTGTGCCGGCCTGGCTTGCACCCCGGTGAGGGTGCTTCGTGCCAGGGGCCGGGACGCAGCCTTGGTCCACCAGCGAGGGCCTTAACCCCTCTGCCCCCAAAGGAGCCCATCTCCCGGCATGAGCCTACCTGTATGCCAGGTTCCTCCTCAAAGGCCCTCCTCCAGGTGACTACTTTGAGGGAGGCTGCGAAGGTGGTGACAACAGACGGGGGCGTCTTGGTGACGGCCCCCCAACTCTGGAGCAATCTCCTTGCCCATGTTCCCTGGCAGGCACCAAAGGGCCCTCTTTGCAGCTCCAAGTTACGAGCTTCCTTTTCACTTCAGCATCTGGCAGCGTGAGGTTTTGATTGTCTTTTAATATTCTTTTATGCTATTTTAAGTTGATTTTTTATTCGTGCTGTTTTTATCTAGTTGATGGTTTTTATATCTTGTTGCCCAAAGTGCTTTGGCTATGAGCAGTATAGAAATGAAATGAACAACAGTCAGGTCCTGGAGTTTTCTTGTTGAACATTTAAGGTTGCTTTAGAAATCTCCGAGTTGTCTGATTATATGTTTGCACAGGTGCCTTTTAACGTACGTATGTATTATAACATAGTTTTAAGGCGCAGACCTTTCTAAATCACCCAGAAATCTTTAGCTTTGGGGTGTTACAGAAATGCACTCAGTGGAAAGGAATGGAATGGATGGGCAACCGTTCATCAGGATTTCAGACAGTTTTTCCCAGCCCGACCTGATGATGCCGTGGTTGCACTCTGGACTGCAAAGTTAAGCCCTTTCCTTAATGCACCAAATTGCACAGGCTGCGACTTTTTGTAACTTGTACAAGAATTTAGCAAAGCAAAGCTGGCTTCGCAAAAGGACGGGCATATGCAGGGAGGAAGGGGGAATTTGCTGTGCAGGACTCCCACTTCCAGCTGTCAGGTCCTGTGTGTGGGCTGACCTGTGTGCACGGAGTGTGTGTGTGTGTGTGTGTGTGTGCAGGTGTGCTGCCAAGACACACTCTCCTTGCTGGCCTCTCCAAGATATTTGGCTGACCACTGCTGGAAACAGGATGCCAGGCCAGAAAGACCTTTGGTTTCACCCAGCAGAATCATTCTGATATCACAGGGTGCGGGTCTACCAAATGGCTCCTCTTGGGCGTGAAGAGGCCTGGCATGAAACCAAACCAACAAGGTCTCTAACACCGTTACTAGGAGATATGTAACAGGTTTTGTGCAATTTGTTTTGTGCTAGGAGAAGGGCGCTGTGAGATTTAGGGTTCCTTCAGCTGCCACCCCTCTTTACTGTAATGGGAATCAACTGGAGAGGCCCCATAAATTCTCCCCGTGGCACCTAGATCCAACCAAAGCTTGGCACTCTGAAAACCCACTGATTTCACCAGGAGATATGCAAGAATGCATGCAATTCTGGTGAAATCATTGGGATGTGCAAGAGTTATTTAACTCCATCCAGAGCGTGTTTTCTGTGGTCTCCCAGGCAAGGGTTCTTTTCATAAAGCCAGGCCAGGAGTAGGTGGGTCTTTTGTAGACCCATGACTTCGAGCAGCAAAAAAAAAAAAAAAAAGACCAAGACCGAAGGAGACATGCATTCAGCACATCCGTGATCCCACAACTGCATTTCTGAATGCTCCCAAAGGAGGTTGCTGGTGCAAGAAACAAGCTCTTTATCCAGGACACCAGAAACAGAGCGTGGCTGCGATTCAGCCCGGGCACCTTTCTTGACATTGTGCCTGTAATTCTTTTGTCAGCCATCACACCGCTTTGTCTTTTGCCCTTTATGCTCCTATGCCGTGGAAGGGGAAAGCCAATCTTTCCCTCTTTCTTTTGATTTTACAAGGGGACCAAAAAAGGAAAAAAGAAAGAAGGGGAAGAAAGCTCTTTTCACTCCGAAAAGCAGCAAATGAAAGATGGTGGGAACCTTTATCTCCCTGGGAAAGTTTTTATGCTGTTGGGCTGGAGCTTTGGACTGTTCCTCATTTTAAAAAAGACAGTCCTTTTGAGGTTGACGACTGCAAGAGCATAAAGGCACGAGAAACGCCTTGACAAATCGGGCTAAATTTGATCTATTCCAGCCTTCTGCATTCAACGGCAGCTGCTTTCCCACACAAGTGAAGTATGGGAAGGACAGCATGCACACCTGACTGCATTATTTAGCACTCCAGGATACACTGTTCCTGAAAATGGAGGCTCCATTAAGCCACTATTTAGAAGCACAGAAGCAGAGCAAATCAGAAGGGGTCTCCTGGGCCATCTAGTCTGACCCCTGGCTCCATCCGACTCCACTCCTGACATGCCTATCATGTGCATGTCTAGCCTATCCTTAAACCCCTCATGGATGGGGCTTCGACTACCTCCCGTGGAAGCCCGTCCCATGCCCTTGGGGTCCTAACCATTGGGAAGTACTTCCTGGCATCCACCCTAAATCTTGGTTCCCTGAGCTTTGCTCCATTGGAATGTGTCCTGCCCTCCACTGCAGGGGAAAAAAGGTCATGCCCCATCTCTGCATGGCACCCCCTCACCATGTTCCTGTATGTCGCCAACAGATCCCCTCCGAGTCTCCTCTTCTCCAGGCAGAAGAGACCCAGTTCCCTCAGTCTCGCCTCATACGGCATCCCCTGCAAACCGGCCACCAACCTTGCGGCCCTGCGCTGCACTGACTCCAACCTGGCTGTATCCTTCCTGTAATGAGGGGCCCAGAACTGAACTCAATACTCAAGTTACGGGTGCACCAGAGTCGTATGGAGTGGCAGTAATACCTCCAAATGATCCCTTGAAAGATAGAAGCATAGAAACAAAGAAACAGAGCGAGTCAGAAGGGGTCTCCCGGGCCATCTAGTCTGACCCACGGCTCCTGCCGGCTCCACTCACGACATGCCCACCATGTGCACGTACAGCCTGTCCTCAAACATCCTCACTGATGGGGTAGCTACTCTATAGCTACCACGGGTCACAGCTCTGGATAGATCCCTTCTCTAAAGACTTCATCTTGTAAAGTTCTCCAGGCTGCACCCGTGGAATTTCACTGGCTTCTGCTGCCCTTATCAAGAGGTGCATTATTTGAGGCTGCTCCCACAGAATCCTAGAAGAGTTGAGTTGGAGGGCTGACCCGCCACGGCCTGAATGCCTCCAGGGTAAGAGAGCTCCCCACCTGCCTAGGTCGCTGGTTCCATTGCCGCATGTCTCTCCTTCCTTCCTCTCTCCCTTAACTTAACCCCTCTCCCATCACTCTTATTTGGGGGAGAGGGGTAAACTCTTCCCCTGCACTGGAGTACAGGATATGTGGAAGAAGACAGTTTTATTCAAATGCTATTTTAATTGTTAATATTATTTATTTATTTTATTCTTTGGCCAGGACGACTTAATTTATATTGTTAATTTATATTGTTTTATTGGATTCTATTTATTTACGGTTGTGAGCTGCCCCGAGGCTTCGGCGAATGGGGCGGCATAGAAGTCCCCTAAATACATACATACGTTCCAATGGAGCAAAGCTCAGGGAACCAAGATTCAGGGTGTATGCCAGGAAGCACTTCCTGACAGTCAGGACCCCGAGGGTGTGGAATGGGCTTCCATGGGAGGTGCTTGAGGCCCCATCGGTGCGCGTGTTCAAGGACAGGCTGGACGTGCACATGGTGGGCATGTCATGAGCGGAGCCGCCTGGAGCTGGGGGTCAGACTAGATGGCCTGTGAGCCCCTTCTGACTCGCTCTGTTTCTATGTTTTGAATACTTTTTGCAATTAAATATAGTCTTTGTTTGGTTGTTTGTTTAGTTTGCTTGCTTATCCTTCTCAACCCAGCCCAAGTTTGTTCAAAAGTCCCCTCCCCATCAAATTTTATTCAAAAGAAAGACAGTCTAGAAATAGAGTAGATACATATGCAAAGGAGAGAACAGGAACTCCAAATGAAGCCGACAGGATCTCCATCATTCCGGGGTCGCCATTAGATGGCAAGAAGTCTAACAGAAGCCCAAACAGGCTACGCTTGCAAAGAAGTCTTACTCTGAACTCGGCTTGGGAAGTGCAGTCTGGGAGGCTTCGGCAAGGGGCGGCATAGAAATGTTATAATAATAATAATACTAATAATAATAATAATAATAATAATAATAATAATTTGAATGCTGTAATTGTGGGGGAAACAAGATGCTCTTGAAATCAAAAGGCAGATCAGACTGAAGTTGCTCTGCCTCGTCAGGACAGCCTTGGGCATCCATGGTCTTGCAAGACGGCCTTGCTCCTCGAACCGGCTGTCCATGTCTTACAAAATGTGGAATGCTCAGTGCCGTAGCCTTTGGCTTCTTTTAGAAAACTCTCTAACTTTTTTCCACTGAAGACATTTGCAAAGTTCTTATAAAAGAATCACATTTTTTTTATCGCCACTGCCCAGATGCAGCAAGAGCAGTTCTGGTGAGCCGGGAGGGTACCATATTGGATAGAACCAGCACAGAGTTATTAAAATTAGGATCCTGCTGGGGGAGGGGAAAGAGAGGGGGAAGCCCCCATTGATCATTGCATGCGAGGCTGAATAGGTGCTACGGCCTCACAACTCCAGGCCCGGGCAGGTGTTGCTTCCTTCCAAATCCCTCTTTCCAGCACATTGAGTGCTTCCCATTTGTCCATGAGGCCCTCTGTCGATGCGCCCAAGAGCAGCGGTCTCGGCCACGCCACCTACCCGCCTCTCTGCTCTGTGCTTCTGTTGCAGCTGGAGATGCGTCTGCAGGACCAGCACCTGGCCCGGCAGCTCATGCGCCTGCGCAGCGACATCAACAAGCTCAAGATCGAGCAGACCTGCCACCTCCACCGGTGCATGCTGAATGACGCCACCTACGAGCTGGAGGAGCGGGACGAGCTGTCCGACCTGCTCTGCGACTTCCCCCTGGCGTCCTCCTTCAGCCTCTCCGCCCCTCTCAAGCTCATTGGCGTGACCAAAATGAACATCAACTCCCGCCGGTTCTCGCTTTGTTAGAGGACGGGATAGCGAGGCGCAGGGGTGCGCGAGGGGCTCTCAGGTGAGAGAGGTTGAGACAGAGAAGCCAGGAGGGCCCACCGGATGGAGAGAGCGGTACCCACGGCAGCTCTTCTGTCGGTCCAAGATGGCAGGGTTGCAGTGGCCGGGCAGAAATCCGCAGGGCGGGCGCGATGCGACCGCCTGGACCCCTGAAGGGAGACACGCCACAAATCCAACACTTGCCTGCCAAGGCATCCCCGTGATAGGATGGTGTTCGTGAAGGATGCTGTGATGAGCTGAAGGCTCCACAGATGTGGGGGATCAGGCGACACACCCCTGCACGCCGCCGGGGAAGCCTTTGGCTCACTTCCGGTGGGACCGTGATGGGAGGGGCAGGCAGCCACGAGGGCACGACGTGGCTGACGTGAAGGGCACCAGGCTCCGGCGTACGGGACACAACCGCACCCCCTTAGGCCCTCCACTAGGGAGCTAGGAGTGTTGTCAAACCCGTGCTCTGGTTTGCAGATTGTCCGGCACTGTTCCTTTTATTATCTGCTCAATACCAGGATAGGGGCCTGGCACAAATGCATGCACACTTTTACAAATCCACACTCCCCCAAATGTGCAAATCTCCCCAAACTACACAAACCCTTGGGGGAAAAAACCTATTTTCATGCTTTAAATATCGGGGAAGGCTGCATTTTTAATTTTTCATATTTTCCTAAGAGTAAATAAAATCACAATTTTTTTTAAAGGGCAGCACCTCTGCAAAATCCTAGAAAAAGCTGGTCCGCTGCAGAATCCATGGAATTCTTAGAAACATGACCTCAGCTTTCCCAGCGATCCCAACCCTTCCCACATTTCGGCCTGCTATCCCCATCCTCTCTCATCATTGGCTAAGTCTGATGGGCTCTGTAGTCACGAAGATTTGGAGGCCCGCAAGTTGACCACCGCAGAGAGAGAGGGTGATGCGGAACAGCCGTGGGGTAGCAAGAGCAGCCGGGGAGGAATTTAAATGATGCGCAAAAGGTTCCTTGTGTGTCGCAAGTGATCTTGGTACGGAGACAGGCCCTGGCTGAGCATCTTTCCTGAAATGCACCATTTTCTCTGTGTGGAGAACATTTCTTTCTATTGATCTAATTTTTGTCCATGAATCTGTTGGAAGATGGAGGGTTAGATCCATGGGGGAATGTTTAACGATGCTCCTTGACTTCTACTCCCGATGCATCAGTGACCTCCAGTGCCATGTGGGCTCTCACAGCACAACCTTCTCTTGTTGGGGGAATGGGTGACTTCAGCAGATGAGCTGATACTCCTGAAGTCCTCCAGACCCCCGCTGAAGCCCCCTGCAGGACACCCCCAGCTTGCAACACTCTCCCCTGCTCCATTGGCTGCAGTCAGAGCTGAGGAGGGGGAGGCCTTTCCCACTAGTCCCGGGGGGAAAGGGGGAGTCTACGAAGGGAGGCTGGGCCCAGGGGGTGTAGATGCCCCTCAAATGCACCCCCTCAGGCCCATGTGGTACATCATCTTGTTAAGGATTAGCCCATTGTAAGCAGTGCCATCCCAAAGTCTGGTGGAACGCCGAGACTCGCGGCCCCGGGTACACTGAATCAAAATTTGCTCCAGGGTACTTTGCAGAACAGTCCACAGTAAGCCTGGCTCAAGGATTTAAACTGGCTGAGGCCAAACGCAAGCACCAGCAAGCAGAAACACCCACACGTTTCAGCAATAAATGATCGGGGTGCTCGAATGAAGCTTGACTGGCTAAAGAAAGGGGATTGCCCATGTCCAGTTCTGCTCTCTGGAGTCCCTGGCCAGCAGATGGTGCGACGGGTGCCGATCCCAGGTGACGTGGACACACACTTGCTGTGATTCTGAACAAGGAAGTTTTTGCTGGAAAGGAAGGCCTCTGTGCTCAGCAGCTGCATGCAGATTTGCAGGAATGAGGGATGAATAGGAGGAGGCATGATTCTACCTGTGTGTTCTCTTGTGGGCTTCCGGGAAGCATCTCTTGGGCCACAATGGAAGGAAAACGCAGGACCCGATGGACTTTGGGCCTCATCCAGCAGGACTCTTCATAAATGAGGGAGCTTTTGGTTTGGTCTGCATTTTAGGAATGTGGTTTTTTTTTAATTTAACATCTTGAGATTTTTAAAATCCTTGCATTTTAAAAACAGAATGTACATAATTTTGCACTTTTGAGTTACTGTGTGATCCAAAACTCAGCTATTCTTTGAAATTTGCATTTATCTCTTTTGCAATGGAATTCTCTGGTCAAGAAACCTGCATACAAACATGTGCATATTTGGGAAAATAACTTTTTAAAGTCTGTTGGGGAACTTAGCTTGAAAAAGATGGTATATTAAGCGAAATGCATGTATCAAGAGAAAAGTGCAAAAAACGATTGTGGATTCTCATGCAAAGTTTTTAAAAAAATCAGCATTCAGGATGAGTTCAAGACTGAGAAACTCCTCAGATATTGAGTTCAACCAAATTTAAGATTGGAAAAATATGAAAAAATCTAAGCAACTGATTAGTTTCCAGTTTAGCACAAACATGCATGGTTTTTGCCATATAAAAGATTACTGGCTGGTCAAAAAATACACAAACAACCATAAACAGCCTGAATTATAGTTTATTTATGTATTCATTTTACAGATGTGTATCTCATCCCTTCTCATGCAAAACCTTCCCAGGATGGGTACTTTTTGCCATCATAAATCTAACAGTGAACTCAATAAGGCAACCTTCCCCAACCTCATGACCTCCAGACAGGTTGGATTACAACTCCTATAATCCCCAGCCAGCATAGCTCTGGAGGCTACTATGATTGCTTTTTGGTAAAGTTGAGAACAACCCTGCACACAAGAAAACCTCTTGGCTATCTTGTTTCAAAATCAGGCACCCCACCAACCCCGAAGCACTTCCTATCTTTTTCAGTTTCGCTCCACCTCTCTTGAAATGGCCAAGAAAAAGCTGTAGGCACCATGAACAGCTCCTGAAAACTCCAGGCTAAAATTCAGAGTGGATATACCACCCCACCGACACAGAAGCTAGCAGCCTCCACTGGCTCTGTGCAAGAACAGGCAGCTGATCTGTCTCCTGAGTCCCTAAAAAGAGGATTTCATAAGCAGGGGACACCACGAAGAAGACCTTGCCAAGTCCTTGCTGGCCTACCTCTGGTGGTAAAAGGAATGAGAAGGAGGTCTCCTCAGGAAGATCAAGGAGGAATGCACTCCCATGCAGTTCAAACTCAGGGGAAACCCACTGTGGATTCTGCCTCCATTTCAGAAGGCTTCACCTGCAGGTCCTCTCCAGGTAGCCTCATCACCTGGATCCAGAAGCCAGCCTAAGAGCTCCTGCTCGCTCCCACCTGCTAACTTTTGCTTAAAGAAGGAAAGGCAAACATAAAGTCAACAAATAAAAAAAGATGAAGACTAGAAAGAGGTCAAATCCAAAGAGACAAGTTAGGTCAAATGTCTGGCATTTGGGCCTTCCCGTCATAATTAAGAATAGTCAAGATAGCCTCTGGCTATTGGTGGTATAAAAAAGAAACAAATAAATAATTCTCCCCTTCCTGACAGCCCAAATTATATCATACCCGTCCTTACCCTCCCCAGTTTTACACCTTCCTGAGAAAACTGTCCCTTTCATAGCCACCACCAAGAAGACAAGCCCCAAAGATCTGATTCTGCCCCTTGGGTTCCATCACAATTACTGCCTTGAACAACCTCTGCACTAACATCGGAATCAGTCTTTTCCTTTTGCTTTGTGGGGGAGAAAATCCCGGTCCAATGACTGCTCGTGTTGTCAGTTTGGGAACTCACATCACGCTCCTTTTGTTATTAAAGAAAATTCCATACACATAATTTGTGCAGCCACACAGAATCAAAAGAGCAGGGTTTGTGGCTGTTGGTGCAGAGGTGAGATTGTGTGGTGTTTTAATGACAATCTGCAATAAATTTACCTTTGCTTGTTCGCTTGTGCGTTTCCTCTGATCAAAGGGAGCCAAGTGAGAAATCCAATACACAATGGGAGAAAGTGACTTTTCCCCATCTTTCTAGGCACAGAGCCTAGACTTCCTCTTCTAAGACTTCCTCTCCCTGCACCTGTGAAGGTGCATGAGCAGAAAAGCTCTGCAGAAGTTTGAATCGATGAGCAACTGTCATGGGGAGAGGCATTCGAACCGCACCTGCTGGGCCGGGTCCCACAGCAGATCTTGTGTACGGCTGGCTTTATTGTGTATCGGATCAAGTTCAGGCAAAGGATTACAATAAGAAAAACATTACTCCATTAAGACCATTACAAATTGCAGAATGTGGTTTGAATGAACCTCCTCTTCCTCCACTTTTCTATTGAGATCATCATCATCATTATATCAGTAATCATTATTAATACACAATGATTATTAATAATTATTACTGTTGCAGGCACCTTGTTTCAAATGCACCATGAGCTTTTCTGGAATCTTTGTGGGATTAAGCTCAGCATTTTCCTTGGGTTTTTGTTTTGTTTTGCTCTTTTTATGCCTTTCCACAAACTCTGTTACACAACCACAAAGTGGCACCACAACACAGCAAAATTGTGGTAGCACATGGGCTTCCTGCGGTGAGATTGCCAGATCATATCAGAATTTCCCTGCTCTGAGCAGGCTGCAGAAACGCCGGAAAAGGATAGGAGATGCCCTGGAAAATGCCGAAAGGGACGTGAGAAAAATCTGCTTGGGGTGGGAATCTGTCGCATCCCTGAGATTCAGCTCCCTGGCTCTGGTGCAGGCTGTTGGGGCCCTGAGCCTGCGCTCTGGGGCACGTCCCCAGCGTCCGTGGGAGCCCGCACGAGCCTCGTCCCTCCTCCGTGCCATGTCTTGTGGCCTTCGTAGTGCAGCACCTCACGCGAAAGAAGGCATTTGCAAGCATCGGCACAGCTCAGTTTGCAAGAACAGGCAAGCACGGGAGAGACCAATTCCACGACGTTTCTGGCCAACCCTAGAAGATGACGCCCTGTAAAGACCCCGCCAACAGTCACGAGTGAGGAATCACGCGCTCATGATAAATGCCCCAAGTCTGGCTTGCAGAAGGGCCGGGACTGCTTTCCGTTTCTGTGGTTCCTGGTTCAGCTGCAGGCATTTCCTGGCAGGGCTGAAAGGGGTTCTGCGGGGAACCTCGGGAGAGGCTACTGCTGGACAACTCAGCCCATACTCAACCAGAGGGACCATTGACCTGGTGCAGAATGTGGCATCTTCCGAAGAATGCAGCCTCAGAGTAGTCATAGAAACATAGACACAGAGTGAGTCAGGAGGGGCCTCCCGGGCCATCTAGTCTGACCCCCGGCTCCAGCCGGCTCCGCTCACCGGAGGCTGGACGTCCACATGCCCACCATGTGGACGTCCAGCCTGTGCTTGAACACTCACACCGATGGGGCCTCAACCGCCTCCCGGGGAAGCCCATTCCACACCCTCGGGGTCCTGACTGTCAGGAAGTGCCTCCTGGCATCCAAACTGAACCTTGGCTCCCTGAGCTTTGCTCCATTGGGGCGCGTCCTGCCTTCCTCTG